CATACTGGTATTGTTAGTGTTTCTGGTTTGACTAGACTCTTTCCTAAATATGATCCTGACATGTTGATCCTGTTTTTTAAAAAACATGGAACTATATCAAGAGTTGAATCCATCTTTCCTAAGAATGACAAACTTAATAGCAGGAGATAGAGAGGAGACAAGAGACAGTGCCTCAGAGACTCAAAGAAGAGAAGAAAGGTTGTTGTTCTTTCCATGTCTTTTGTCTAATGATAGACCTGATGAGATGACTAGTCAAGTGTACCAGTTTGGTTGGTGTCTACAGTGTACTAGAGAACATGATTTCTTTCCTCCTCGATACTTCCACGTCCTCTCATTACATCTTGCTTTTAAAATGGCTCAACCTCAAGAAGGTGACAAGTTAAAGCGACGTTGTGCATTTTGGAAGAATGGACTTTATTGGTTTAATGGTCATGGTGTAGGATCACTGGTAGAGATTGTGGATGAGAGCCAGTGTGTACTAGTAATGATGTCCTGTGAGAAAGATTACAATGACAAAATGGTGTTTCTAAGAAGAGATGTGATAGGAGAGGTAATGAGTGTTTATAAAGAATCTTGTCCCAGTCTAGAGGTAAAAGAGTTAGTTATTGATCCCAAAAAACTAGCCTATCCTGTGAATACACCAAGAGAAAGGACAGTGTATAGTGTAAAAGATATACTGTCTGCTATTGACAAGAGAGAAGAGTTTTTAGTAAATTCTGATGGCACTAATGGTAAAAAGGTGAAGGAGATCCTACCTGATGAATCATTATCAGATATTAGTAACCTGTCACTATTAGGAGGACGTGATATTAAGGTAAGAAGACTTAATGCACATTATTTGGTTTATCTGTTTTATTGTAGGAATTATTAGGAGACACTTATACTCCAACAGATTACAATAAAGTTCAAGATCATAAGCTACTAGGTATTTGGTAGTTAATTAATACATGTAGTGTGTTTAAGTTTGCTTTTATTTTAGATATTAAAGATCTTGATATTGTCATTGAAGAATTAACAACAAATCAACACTTGCCCTGTGCTGTATGGCGTAGACTAGGTCTACAGTTAGGATTATACCATAAGCCTAGACTAGTGGATATAGATGAGAAGCATGGAGGAGATCCAGTAAAATGCTTTTATGAGTGTATGTCTGCCTGGTTAAGAGAAGAAGATAAAGTGAGAGAGAAAGGACGTCCCAGTTGGTCATCATTAGCTACAGCACTGGATACAATAAAAGAGAAACCTATTGCTAGTTACATTAGAGATAAATATTGTAGTGCTTCCTCACAGCTAATTATATGTGAATATTCATTGTAACTGCTATTAGTTTTTATGCTTATGTAATGTGGCTACTCGTAGGTGTTAAAAGTAATGTTTTTCCAAACAAAAAGTTGATAAGAAGAGAGAGAGAGACAGAGAGTGTTACAATCATAGAAGAAATCACAATCACATGCTCCTTACAACTGGGCAAAAACACATACATACGTGAAACCATAAAGTATAATGACAACAAGATAACAATACAGTAATGATTACAATCCAATAGTATTACAGTACCAGTGACTAACACTCATTAAATTTATAAACAATCCTGTTGCAGTCTAAAGCTAAAAGAGTTAGTTATTGATCCTAAAGAACTAGCCTATCCTGTGAATATACCAAGAGAAAGGACAGTGTATAGTGTAAAAGATATACTGTCTGCTATT